CCTTAGATTTGGGTAAAATCTTCACTTTAAATTTTATTCTAGAACTGAGGACAGTATTATTATTATTGTCTCAGCCCCTCTTTCACTCACTCTTTCACTCACTCTTTCACTCACTCTCTCTCTCTCTCTCTCTCTCTCTCTCACACACACACACACACACACGCACACACACACTAAAAACAATGACATTTGTTTTTGTGTGAACAGCCATGACAGATGTAGTTGCTGATTTGCAAGTAGAGCAGGGAAGATCCAATCACAAGTGGTCGCTCGAGATACATGAGGAGACACATGCTAATGCCAGACATGAACTGATGAACTCAGAGCTGTCTGCTTGTGATTGGATCACTCGAGAAGTATGTTAGTACCCAGTCCGAACAAGGCCAAAGAAATCAGATTTACTGAAAGGTAATTTATCTCCGTTTGCAAGAGAGACAGAAAGATTTTCGTTCTGGAGACGAATTATGTCTTAAGCTGAACTATTTATTCAATTACCGGATGCATCAGGGAACCCAGGCTGATGAGCGGTACAGAAAGTAGAACAGTTGTATTGCCATCAAATCTGAGCAGTATCATAAACTCCATTAAAATCTGGAAATTACTTTTCATGTGGAGCTGCTCTGTTGGACAAAATATCTTAACCCTTGCTCATCTCACCAAACCATTCTAGTGTCTTCTCTATCAGTCTCAAAGAAAGTCAGCGTATGTACTCTTGCAGAGATATTAGGTATGTTCCTCCAGTTGTTATCTATCTGGCATCCTAACTCTTCGTTTGGTGCTAAGGGGACTCAGTATTATAACACATGTGGTGTATAATCCTCCTCTGACGTGATTCTAGTTTCTGTCATCCTGGGTTATAGAGAGGCCCCCAAAATAAGCCAATAATTGAAAAATGAGAAATTTTAATTAACAGACCTAAACCTTTAAAACTTCCATTAGAAGATGGGGCTGAAATTACAAACTGTCTTGCTCCTGAGGCCTTCCTGTATTTACTGATGTCCACAACAAGTTCATTTTGGAACAAAAAAGATCTCGAACCAAGGTTTTAAGCTCTGTATCAGAAATAAACTCCGCCTGTACTAACACACCTGAAAACATGTATCACTCATGCACGTGCTGGTGAAAACTGGAAGCAGATATTCAATTCTGCAGTTGTTTGCTTTGAAACTGCTTTGAAGTTAAAGTGATTCAATGAATGTCTTATAATGTCAACCTGTTCCCTCAACACACGTCTCATACATTTCATCCATCAGAGACACAGTAAATGATCC